GTAAGCTACTGGTTTGTGTACATGTGAAAATCAACAAACGGGCGCCGGTTTGGTGCAAATTCTGGTGTCGGTTTTGTCCTGGGATTTTGGGGATGTTCCGCTACGAATTTGGACATGATTCCTTCACCAAAGTTGTAGATAATGAAGTCTTCTATCCAACAAAACTTGAATGACATGATTTTTGTCACGCCCCAGACCGCGTCTGTGCCACGTGGACAACCGTCGTACAACCCAATAAGAATAACCGCAGTTCATCCTTACCGAATTGCACAAGACGTCCGATAGATACATATGCCAAAACCGATTAGTAAACATACATAACAACATCAACATACAATCAAACACATAGCGGAATATAAGTGTTTTAATAAGAACCCACACAAGGGTAAAACAAGAGCTCGCAGGCTCCATTAATTTATAAGTCAAAATAGTTCCATGAGCATTATTTAATTATTTAAAAATGGAACGAGAGGAAGCACGAACCACGTCTTCTCTCCATCGATCTCCCGAACAACGGGTGCAGGAAGTAAGCTCTAGCTTCAACCTGAAAGGGTGGTTCCCCCGAGGGATCAGTACTACAGAAAAGTACTGGTGAGGGCAAACTGTATGTAATGTAACTAACGTTTCTCACGTGAGACCCTCGAAATAGGGTGATAGTATAATTATGGGCATAACTCTTAGCTACCCCTTTTCAAAACAAAATGTATACATATATATATACATATGAGTAAAATATCCGGCCCGTGGGCCCATTTGTCTTTCAAATCATTTAGGCGTAACAGCCTCATTAAATTCACCCTTCCCATGTCTTACCCTCGAGTGGAGTCACCCGCAGGCTGACTCACCCGATATCAAAATATAATTACTGTGGGGGCCCTTCGGACTCCCATATCACGGACATGGTTTAAATCAATTCCTAGACCAAGGAAAATATCCTATCGGAAACTCATTCCCGATCAAGCACGTTTAATCATTTAAAATCATTACCTTGAGGTTCACCTACCTCGAGGACTATCCGTCCTTACAATCATAGTTTACATTCCCGGGGCTAACCCCGCCTTGAGGAGTACGCATACACCCTCATCCTACGTGTAATTTGCTTGAGGTTAACACACCTCAAGGACTACACGGGCCCTTGTTACCTATGTGCAATTTGATGGAGGATACCACACCTCAAGGACTGCACTTGCCCTTGTTACCTATGTGTAATTTGCTGGAGGATACCACACCTCAAGGACTACACGGGCCCTTGTTACCTATATGCAATTTGATGGAGGATACCACACCTCAAGGACTGCATTTGCCCTTGTTACCTATGTGTAATTTGCTGGAGGTTAACACACCTCAAGGACTACACGGGCCCTTGTTACCTATATGCAATTTGATGGAGGTTAACACACCTCAAGGACTGCATTTGCCCTTGTTACCTATGTGTAATTTGCTGGAGGTTAACACACCTCAAGGACTACACGGGCCCTTGTTAACATTTGAGTATAAAGGACTCCTCCTGGTCCTACAGAGTTTTACCCAACCTTACTCGGTCCCGGGTATTCACCCGCCATGTATAATCTACCACGTACCTCGCCCGGTCGTGGTCTATAATTTCTTTACTAACGACTAGTCCAAGTCTTAGCGTTTAAACCGTATTTGAAGCCTTAGCAACCAATGTGGACGGGTCCCACCCGAACGGCCCACATAAACTTACTCAAAAACTGCATATTGGGTGTATTACCCAATACCCGGTCGGGTATTACCCATACCCGGTCGGGTATGGTGAGGCAGTAGCCTCTGGAACTGATTTTAGCTAATACCCGGTCGGGTATTTACGTATACCCGGTCGGGTATAGCCTTTGACTTGGCGGTCAACGCCCGTTTGACCGCACAAACGAAGTCCGATTTACGTGAAATTTTATACACATGTACTTCTTGACTTCCTTAATCCAAAAATACCTTTTTGGGTCCTTGGAACATCATACATAATTAATTATCACATTTTAAATCATCAAGCTTACTTAACATGCCTTTCAACTATATTTTACATATAATCATGGCATAACACATACTTGATTATCTTTAATCATTCAATAAAATATATTCTTGATTACTTTAGGTAATCTATGCCTCACTCAAAAGTTATGAAACATGACACTGTCTTCTCACAACTATTAATAAGTACTTCATACTTATTAATCGCTTATATATTTCGTTCTAGTTTATTCTTCATAACTAGATTTAATTTAATGACATGTATGATTATGTACTTGAATCCTTCAAGAATACCATCTTGAATTACCTTAGCCAAATCATCCATGATTATCCTTCATCAAAATATTAATAATTCTTTTACTCATTAATCATGCCATTTCCCAATAACTTATACTCATTATAGCTAATCACATGTTTAAACACTTTTAAACATTTCTATACATATCCACATACTAGATTACTCTAGTGATCTCATACATAGTCCATGTGTGCATTTTTTATACATTTGACAATAATATATTCATGATTAATCCACAAATAAATCTCTTATTCATTAATCATGTAATATTTCCATAATTCATATTCACCATGACTAATCATGCATTTTAATCCATTTAATCATTCCTCAAATCATGATAAGGAGTTTATTTAGGTAATCCCACGTTTGACCCAAGAGTTACAAGACACGTAGTCGTCCACTCACCTTGAAATGACGCTAGCAAGCTTTTATCTTCTTTGTTCGAACTCCGGCGACTTTTGAATTTTCCGGCGAAAACTCCGGCGGCTCCGGCGGCTTTCCGGCCACTCCTAGGTTCCTTGAGAAGTCTAGAATACCTTGGTAAAATTCCTAACAAGGTTTCACAACCAAAAGTGGTATAAACGTCAAAACCTTCCAAGAAGGTGTTTTCCGGTGAACCGGTCTTACTCCGGTCATAACTCCGTTCGTGGTTAAACTTAACCTTCGAAACCATCATTCTACACCTCTAAAAGTGTAGAACAAGATTAAGAGTCTATCATATGATTTATAAAATCATATGAGATTAAATGAAGAATGAAATGTTAATGAGACCATTACCTTAATTAAACAAGGTTTTTCTCTTCTTTTCTCACTCTTTCTTCTTCCTTGGACCTTCCTTGGTTTGAGCTTGCTTCAACAATGGAGGATGGTGAATTTTAGAGGCTCTCCTCTCTTTCTTTATTGTGTTGGGCGAAATAATGAGAGGGAAGGGATTGAGATGGTCCTTTTTGTCTCAAAACACAAATGGGTGATGGGAGAGGGCCCCTTTACCTATCAAACATGTCTCTCCCATCTCTTCATCTATCAATTAGTCTCATCCCAAGTTACACAGCTCACACATTGCTGCTTGAGCTCACAAAAACGTGGGTTGGCCCCCACTCATGTTGGAGGTCATCCCAAAATGTCCCGAAGTGTACAATTGGTCCCGAAAGTTGTATTTTCCGGACTGCTTTAATTAAATTTAATTTTATCGGGCCGAATAAAATATATATCATTCTTCCAATTAATATTGGCCTCTAGAATGAATATATATTATCCTACTTTAATTTCGTGGTCGCCGAAATTAATTTCGGGCTGTTATCTGTTTAATTACCTATACCGGTAATGGGACTCCGTTTGATCGAAAGGCCAACTTTATGGCTCAACATTTATTTACAACCTCATATAAATATTATCTAGACCAAGATGAATATAATATGTGGTCCGTAATTATCGGATGGTCCCCGCCCATGTGTGGGCTCAACGTGCATTTTACTGTTCAAGTAACGGTAAAAATGAGAACACGTCATCTCGTAAATTCATTAGCAATTTCTCATGACTCAATATGTGTATTGATATTTTGTGACATTTTAATAAGATGTTACACATCTTTTTAAGTGATCCCAAATGTAAAAACAGATAAAATCTTATCTGTTTGTTCTCAAAATAAAATATCTTTAAGGTAGGGTCCTCCAAAAGTACCCTCCTTTAATATACCAAGTTAATCAATATTATTCATCCCATTATTTTGGTTTCTTAAAATGTCTATATTTCTTCTGTTATAAATTCGTAGTCCTACGAATTATTGACAGTCCGATAATTAAGGACTCCCCACTATCGAATAGTGGCCCTGGCCCGCTCGGCCGTCCAGTGGTTGCTCTTTATAACAATGGGGTCCACGACCCATTCCTACTATCATAATAGTATCGTTTTGGAAAATAGTAATATTTTATAAACTTGAAATACCACGTGTGGTCCCACGTCTAAATTAATAACCCTTTATTAATTTAGGACAAAATTTTACTTTCTCATTTATCGAGACTACTCTTAGTCTTGATTTACCTTCTTTAACCAAATACTTTACGAAAAAATTTTATCTGGGTAAAATTCGGGTCCGGTGTTACAAGTCCACCCCCCCTTACAGGAATTTCGTCCCCGAAATTAACGTCTTAACCTTGAGAAACATTTCTCCCTTCATTTTCTGAAGCTAAAAATTTTGAACATAAAAATATTTATGGAAATTAAGGTTTAATTTAATAATACCTTATGCCATGGTCGGGCCTAACAAATGGCTTCCGCCATTCCCGGCCTTCACGAGCGAGTTCGCCATTGACTTTTAGAAGGTACCATGTTTGAGGCAACCCTAGTTGGGTTTTCAACCCCCGTGACCCCTCCTCTAGCTCCCGATGTTCCTTCACGCGTACGTTGAGGACAAAGAACCTTGATGTGGCCTGTTTCTCCACAAAAGTAACATCTAGATGGCTCTCGACATCTCCCGTAGTGCCTTTGCCTACAATTCTCACATTTGGGTGCCCCCGTGCCCCGAGTGCTTGAGCTTTGACTTACCAAGTTCTGACTCTCACTGAAAAACGGAACTAACTTGTTAGAGTCCCCCTTGCTCTGAAGTTCATACTTCCCCTCTCGTCGTGGAGGGTGAATCATCACCTGATGTCTTTCTTGTGCTCCCTTTGCATCCCTTTCTTGCCTTTCCTTCCAAAGCTCCTCCCCCTGGAGACCTTGGGCTACTACTTGACTAAAAGTCATGTTGAATTGGTAGGTCGCTCTTTCGCGTATTTCCAAATTGAGTGCATTCCAAAAATGGTTTGCCATTCGGTTCTCATTTGCGGCATACTCAGGCAAGAACCTTGCCAGATGTCGGAATCTTTGTTCCAGTTGCTTCACCGTAAACTCATTTCCCTGTTTGAGATCGATATATTCCCTCCTCTTTCGATTTACTTCGAAAGAGGTGTAAAACTGCTCATAAAATGCTTGCTCGAAGTTGTCCCACGTGACAACCCCGTCAAACTTACCCTTGGTGCCCTCCCACCAAGTAGAAGCTAAACCCTCCAATAATCTAGTGGCTACCCTTAACTTTCGTTCAGGGACCACCTGCATGTCATCAGCTGCATCATTTAACCTTTTTATCCACTCGGCTGCTTCCGATATGTCCTCCGTCCCATCAAATGGTTTGCACCCCAAGGCTCTAGCCTCTTTGAGGTATTTTGAAATCTTAAAGAATGGTTCTTCGCCATCAGAACATCTGATTGTCCTAACCCGTGCTCTATGAGCACCCCAACCCCTCCTGAGAGAGGTCTCGCCTTTGACCAGTCCCTCCTGAGATCCCTGTCGTTGTCTTCCCCTTTCACGTTGGTACCATCGATACATCTCACTAACATGGTCAGGAGGAATACTATGTATATCCTCTCCACTGTTTTCCTGAAAAGAAGTTTCATCTGACTCGCTTTCAGGGTGATAAGTTGAGTCATCCTCCGAGTTCCACGACTCGAATTCAGTCACATTGTGATCAGCCATCGCGGCTCGTGTTCGTGGGCCTTGGTTGCCCATACTTCGCCTTTTACGCGACCTTGATATCCCCCGATTGGCTTGCCCGGCTATCCCCGGTGCGCGCCCTCTCGGATTTCCTCGAACCGCCCTGTCACTACCACCCATTCCTGAAAGAATATATTGGAATGAGTCGTTGGACTCGTTTGAATGTCAATTGACAGAAACGTACTCAAGACACAACTTGGCTCAAGTCACTGTCATACCAATTGTTAAGGGGCCCGTCTTAACAACCAGAGACCTTGCAACTCAATAACCAAATGCTCTTTGAAGTACAAAACTTATGCTCATGGTTTTCATTGAAAAATTATTTTGATAGAAACTCTGTTGAGAGGTTGACTATATAGTTTAGAAATCGTATGGCTTTGATACCACTTAATTGTCACGCCCCAGACCGCGTCTGTGCCACGTGGACAACCGTCGTACAACCCAATAAGAATAACCGCAGTTCATCCTTACCGAATTGCACAAGACGTCCGATAGATACATATGCCAAAACCGATTAGTAAACATACATAACAACATCAACATACAATCAAACACATAGCGGAATATAAGTGTTTTAATAAGAACCCACACAAGGGTAAAACAAGAGCTCGCAGGCTCCATTAATTTATAAGTCAAAATAGTTCCATGAGCATTATTTAATTATTTAAAAATGGAACGAGAGGAAGCACGAACCACGTCTTCTCTCCATCGATCTCCCGAACAACGGGTGCAGGAAGTAAGCTCTAGCTTCAACCTGAAAGGGTGGTTCCCCCGAGGGATCAGTACTACAGAAAAGTACTGGTGAGGGCAAACTGTATGTAATGTAACTAACGTTTCTCACGTGAGACCCTCGAAATAGGGTGATAGTATAATTATGGGCATAACTCTTAGCTACCCCTTTTCAAAACAAAATGTATACATATATATATACATATGAGTAAAATATCCGGCCCGTGGGCCCATTTGTCTTTCAAATCATTTAGGCGTAACAGCCTCATTAAATTCACCCTTCCCATGTCTTACCCTCGAGTGGAGTCACCCGCAGGCTGACTCACCCGATATCAAAATATAATTACTGTGGGGGCCCTTCGGACTCCCATATCACGGACATGGTTTAAATCAATTCCTAGACCAAGGAAAATATCCTATCGGAAACTCATTCCCGATCAAGCACGTTTAATCATTTAAAATCATTACCTTGAGGTTCACCTACCTCGAGGACTATCCGTCCTTACAATCATAGTTTACATTCCCGGGGCTAACCCCGCCTTGAGGAGTACGCATACACCCTCATCCTACGTGTAATTTGCTTGAGGTTAACACACCTCAAGGACTACACGGGCCCTTGTTACCTATGTGCAATTTGATGGAGGATACCACACCTCAAGGACTGCACTTGCCCTTGTTACCTATGTGTAATTTGCTGGAGGATACCACACCTCAAGGACTACACGGGCCCTTGTTACCTATATGCAATTTGATGGAGGATACCACACCTCAAGGACTGCATTTGCCCTTGTTACCTATGTGTAATTTGCTGGAGGTTAACACACCTCAAGGACTACACGGGCCCTTGTTACCTATATGCAATTTGATGGAGGTTAACACACCTCAAGGACTGCATTTGCCCTTGTTACCTATGTGTAATTTGCTGGAGGTTAACACACCTCAAGGACTACACGGGCCCTTGTTAACATTTGAGTATAAAGGACTCCTCCTGGTCCTACAGAGTTTTACCCAACCTTACTCGGTCCCGGGTATTCACCCGCCATGTATAATCTACCACGTACCTCGCCCGGTCGTGGTCTATAATTTCTTTACTAACGACTAGTCCAAGTCTTAGCGTTTAAACCGTATTTGAAGCCTTAGCAACCAATGTGGACGGGTCCCACCCGAACGGCCCACATAAACTTACTCAAAAACTGCATATTGGGTGTATTACCCAATACCCGGTCGGGTATTACCCATACCCGGTCGGGTATGGTGAGGCAGTAGCCTCTGGAACTGATTTTAGCTAATACCCGGTCGGGTATTTACGTATACCCGGTCGGGTATAGCCTTTGACTTGGCGGTCAACGCCCGTTTGACCGCACAAACGAAGTCCGATTTACGTGAAATTTTATACACATGTACTTCTTGACTTCCTTAATCCAAAAATACCTTTTTGGGTCCTTGGAACATCATACATAATTAATTATCACATTTTAAATCATCAAGCTTACTTAACATGCCTTTCAACTATATTTTACATATAATCATGGCATAACACATACTTGATTATCTTTAATCATTCAATAAAATATATTCTTGATTACTTTAGGTAATCTATGCCTCACTCAAAAGTTATGAAACATGACACTGTCTTCTCACAACTATTAATAAGTACTTCATACTTATTAATCGCTTATATATTTCGTTCTAGTTTATTCTTCATAACTAGATTTAATTTAATGACATGTATGATTATGTACTTGAATCCTTCAAGAATACCATCTTGAATTACCTTAGCCAAATCATCCATGATTATCCTTCATCAAAATATTAATAATTCTTTTACTCATTAATCATGCCATTTCCCAATAACTTATACTCATTATAGCTAATCACATGTTTAAACACTTTTAAACATTTCTATACATATCCACATACTAGATTACTCTAGTGATCTCATACATAGTCCATGTGTGCATTTTTTATACATTTGACAATAATATATTCATGATTAATCCACAAATAAATCTCTTATTCATTAATCATGTAATATTTCCATAATTCATATTCACCATGACTAATCATGCATTTTAATCCATTTAATCATTCCTCAAATCATGATAAGGAGTTTATTTAGGTAATCCCACGTTTGACCCAAGAGTTACAAGACACGTAGTCGTCCACTCACCTTGAAATGACGCTAGCAAGCTTTTATCTTCTTTGTTCGAACTCCGGCGACTTTTGAATTTTCCGGCGAAAACTCCGGCGGCTCCGGCGGCTTTCCGGCCACTCCTAGGTTCCTTGAGAAGTCTAGAATACCTTGGTAAAATTCCTAACAAGGTTTCACAACCAAAAGTGGTATAAACGTCAAAACCTTCCAAGAAGGTGTTTTCCGGTGAACCGGTCTTACTCCGGTCATAACTCCGTTCGTGGTTAAACTTAACCTTCGAAACCATCATTCTACACCTCTAAAAGTGTAGAACAAGATTAAGAGTCTATCATATGATTTATAAAATCATATGAGATTAAATGAAGAATGAAATGTTAATGAGACCATTACCTTAATTAAACAAGGTTTTTCTCTTCTTTTCTCACTCTTTCTTCTTCCTTGGACCTTCCTTGGTTTGAGCTTGCTTCAACAATGGAGGATGGTGAATTTTAGAGGCTCTCCTCTCTTTCTTTATTGTGTTGGGCGAAATAATGAGAGGGAAGGGATTGAGATGGTCCTTTTTGTCTCAAAACACAAATGGGTGATGGGAGAGGGCCCCTTTACCTATCAAACATGTCTCTCCCATCTCTTCATCTATCAATTAGTCTCATCCCAAGTTACACAGCTCACACATTGCTGCTTGAGCTCACAAAAACGTGGGTTGGCCCCCACTCATGTTGGAGGTCATCCCAAAATGTCCCGAAGTGTACAATTGGTCCCGAAAGTTGTATTTTCCGGACTGCTTTAATTAAATTTAATTTTATCGGGCCGAATAAAATATATATCATTCTTCCAATTAATATTGGCCTCTAGAATGAATATATATTATCCTACTTTAATTTCGTGGTCGCCGAAATTAATTTCGGGCTGTTATCTGTTTAATTACCTATACCGGTAATGGGACTCCGTTTGATCGAAAGGCCAACTTTATGGCTCAACATTTATTTACAACCTCATATAAATATTATCTAGACCAAGATGAATATAATATGTGGTCCGTAATTATCGGATGGTCCCCGCCCATGTGTGGGCTCAACGTGCATTTTACTGTTCAAGTAACGGTAAAAATGAGAACACGTCATCTCGTAAATTCATTAGCAATTTCTCATGACTCAATATGTGTATTGATATTTTGTGACATTTTAATAAGATGTTACACATCTTTTTAAGTGATCCCAAATGTAAAAACAGATAAAATCTTATCTGTTTGTTCTCAAAATAAAATATCTTTAAGGTAGGGTCCTCCAAAAGTACCCTCCTTTAATATACCAAGTTAATCAATATTATTCATCCCATTATTTTGGTTTCTTAAAATGTCTATATTTCTTCTGTTATAAATTCGTAGTCCTACGAATTATTGACAGTCCGATAATTAAGGACTCCCCACTATCGAATAGTGGCCCTGGCCCGCTCGGCCGTCCAGTGGTTGCTCTTTATAACAATGGGGTCCACGACCCATTCCTACTATCATAATAGTATCGTTTTGGAAAATAGTAATATTTTATAAACTTGAAATACCACGTGTGGTCCCACGTCTAAATTAATAACCCTTTATTAATTTAGGACAAAATTTTACTTTCTCATTTATCGAGACTACTCTTAGTCTTGATTTACCTTCTTTAACCAAATACTTTACGAAAAAATTTTATCTGGGTAAAATTCGGGTCCGGTGTTACAATTTTATTCAGCCAATCAAGAG